TATATTAGCAAAGGAAGAAAGGCTTTCATTCTGCTTCCAAGTTTTTTCAAGTATAAGAACCAAAAATGATGTGGCTCCTAACTCAAATAATCTCTAAACCAATATTGTTACTCACAAATGAAAACAAAGAAATGTATATATCTAAAAATGTTAGTTTCTACAAGCTAGTTGGTGCCCAGGGATTTTGGCAGATTTCAGTGGTAGAAGAAAATGCCAGGTTGGCAGATTTTTTCTTCCTTTGGGATATCCCGTTTTGTAAAGTTACCATTTATCATAGATACCCCTGAATTCTCCCAAAGGAAGCTGACAAAGTATTTGAGAGAATCATAACTGACATGAGACTGGACAAGTTTATTAACTTTGTGTTTGCATATTAAGCATACTAGAGAAAATTATCACCTGGAACAAAGCCGGTGTTTCTGAAGGATTTTGTCAAACAGCATAGCATTAAACCAAGGTCAGAAAAGAAAAGCTAAACAGGTGAGAAGAAATCCATCAAGGCACAAAGTGACATTTTTTTTTAATGGCTAAAACTCAGACACTTAGGAAAATATTTATCACTCAACTGTGCCACAGTTTTTAAACATATTACAAAGAGCCAGTGTGTCTTTCTGAATATAAGGGCAGGCTGCTGTGTTTCAGCATAACCATTTCAGAAATGTAGGACCAGCCCGTGTTTGCCAAAGGTAACAACACCAAAAACAATAGCAGCTAATGTTTATTGAACTATTACTATGCACCAGTGGCATTTCTCTAAGCACTCTGTAAATTAATAGCACTCCATATTAGGTTCGATTACTTTTCTCAAGTTACAGATGAGGAATCCAAGACACTATAATGTCAACAGTGATCAAGAGAAGCCATTCATTGTCCTCGTAGATGCAGACACAGGTGACTGCAGCTTAATTCATTATTAGTGCTAAACTTGAGGTCATATGCTTTTAGTACTCATCAACTATCCAAATAATATGTTTATGAGTATTCTATGTTGTTGATTTTCTTCCTGGAGAATTTTCTACCTCATACCAGATTTTGGGCAATATCATGCTCTGATTGAGGATGAAGGTCACTAGGCAGCAGGACTCCTGAACAATGGAACCAAAATCCTAGTGGGCTGGACAGTCCTCAGAAACAAACCTGTCTAGCTCTAGCCAGGTAGCTTACTTGATTAAAGCATCATCTCAATATACCATTGTCATGGGTTTGATCCTCAGTTGGTGGACATACCAGAATCAACCAATGAATGTACAAATAACTGGAACAACAAATTGATCTCTCTCTCTCTCTCTCTCTCTCTCTCTCTCTCTCTCTCTCCAATAAATAAAATTAAAAAAATATATACACATATGACATAAATTTAAAATAAACAAAATCTATCTAGACAACAAATGCTGCTCCTCAGATTAGAGAAAGTTTAGGGTAAAACAGCCCTTGTAAAGACAATGTAATGCCACTGGCTGCTGATATGCATCCTTGTGTCAAACCCAGTGTGAAAATACAGTTCCATAAAGATGGACCTGTTTTGGGGATGCTTGTTTTGAAAAACAATTGCATGTTGCTGGAATTGTGGTATGTGAATGAGGACAGTACTCTATTCCAACAAAAAGCTCCCCATGCAGCCTGGATGAAGAACCATACATAGGGATAGCCTAGACAACTGAAACTCCTCTAAAACACTACACAGCTAAATTGACATTTACCGTGGCAGAGCAAGCAAAACGTGCATGTGATAAGGTCACCTATCTGCTGTGCCTCTGCTTAAGCACTGAAGAAATCTAGGCAGTTGTCCAAATGGGAAACCTCCTGAGAACATGACAACATATCCAGACAAAAAAGTAAGGATTCATGTATTAATGCAATGTTATTTTAAAAAAATCAAGAGGGTGTTGGGAGCTCTTAATTAGATTCCAAAACAAAGTGTATCAGAGACAGATCACCAATTATGAACACCAAAATGCTAGCATGGGAGAATGGGTGTATGTTTATGTCAGGCTTCTACAAAACACAAAACATTTCCTGATACTAGACAATAATTTTCTAATAATTAAATTCCTATCATCTCTAGCTGTTCTGTTGGGTTTATGATTATGTTTGGGATTTTAGATATCTAAGCTTCTGGAGGACTCCAGAACACATAGATGATCTAAGTTTTGAGTTGTCACTATAAGATTTCACCTCCTCTAGTCTTCATAAAAAACAAACAATGGTTCACAGTTTGTCATTCTCAGAGAATTTCTGAAGGCATGAGCTCAAAACACAAGCTTACTGTATCTCAAAAAAAGGGAGGTAAACATATAGAATTGTGAACCCTCAGGGAAAAAGACAACAGAACAAACAAACAAACAAACAAACAGGTGTAGTGGCAATTTTTGTACAGGGGCCTTTCATGCATCCTGCAATTCACAGAGAAGCCTGTGCTGAACTGCCTGCTGCCTATTTGCACTGTGTTTCTGCCATCTGATCCAGTCCATATAAAGGAGTTCCTGGAATCGTATTTCAACCAATAGGACTGAGTTTTCCCCATCCAATTAGAGCTGTGCAGCTCCTACCAATGATAGCAATTCCATTCTGACTAATCAGAACAGTGTGTTTTGGTCCAATCAGATTGTGAGGATTTGGACTCCACATTTGCACGATACCAATCAGGGACCAGGGGCAGGGACTTCTGTCCATGTAAGCCAGCTTCCCCACCCACCATATTCTCCCTTTCCACTTAAGACTGCGTCTCCTTGGCTGAGCTGAAATACCAAAGAGGATGTCTCACCAGAGCAGAGCTGTCCAGTCCAGAGGGGCCTGACCCCGGAGCTACCTCTTATTCATGCTATAGCACAATTGAGCTGTTTTGCACTAAATAGCTTCCTTCTTCACAGTACTCTAAATTGGGGATTCCTGTTGGCTTTGAGTCCGCACCACCCACCATGGGTTGACAGAATCAAGGTTTGCATACTGTTCATCATCAGACTTTTCCATAGTTTCAGACCAATACAAGCCCAGAATGCTGGTGCACAATGGAAATCCAATTCTTTCTCTTCTGTTCTCTTGATGCAAATGCCAATTCTGAATGGTCCTCTCCACAGACTGGACGATCTTCAGATTCTGGTCCTGAGGATCCTGCAGGTGCTTCAGCCCATCTCCCCCACTCTTGGGTAATTGTGAAATAAGGGATCCAGGCACACTGACCTCTTCCCAACTGGAAGCCGATTTCTCTAGCTCTTACCTAGAGAACAAGGAAAAAGAGAGAGAGAGAGAGAGAGAGAGAGAGAGAGAGAGAGAGAGAGAGAGAGAGAGAGAGAGAGAAAGAGAGAGAGAGAGAGAGAAAGAGAGAGAGAGAGAAAGAGAGAGAGAGAGAAAGAGAGAGAGAAAGAGAGAGCGAGAGAGAGAGCGAGAGAGCGAGAGCGAGAGCGAGAGCGAGAGCGAGAGAGAGAGAGAGAGAGAGAGAGAGAGAGAGAGAGAGAGAGAGATTATTAGGAGAAATGGGGAACTACATGCTCTTTCCCCAAAGCCATGACAAACCACAAAACGACCTGAGGCAAAAGCAAGATTACCCCAAATGTGCAAAGAGGATGCACCTCTGAACCATGACTTGGGATTTCCCAGAGCCTGTTGAGAGCTGATGCTTCTCATAAGGTTAAAGATGGAGGGATCACTGGTCTGGTTGTATTTTTCTTAATCAATATAAGTGGGTAAGTGTGGTCCTAGCATAAGTGACAGTCCTACAAAGTTGTGCAAACCCTGACTGCTCTCCTGCTGCGCCTGTGCATAATTATTATAAGGTTCCTTGGGTTTGGGTAAGCTCAGGGGCCAGACCTGATCCCAGGATGTGTGCCTGAGGTGGCTGCAGAATGGAGGACCCAGCAGAGCACCGGGTCTGCAGGAGTGAGCCAGGTCTGCAGGAGTGAGCCATGGCGGAGAGCTCAGAGCACCCAGTAGAGAACCATAAAGTCCACCGGACTGGAGAGGCCTGGCCTCTCCCTCTGTGTCCGCGCCGCCAGGGTTGGAGACTTGCCCACCGCGCCCTGGCACTGCGCCCGCCTCGGTGCCGCGCAGGGGGCGGGCTCCCCACGCGCCGGCCCCGTCCCATTGGTCCCGGGCCCCGCCTGTCCCCCTGGAGAGGCCTCGAAAGTTTCATTGAAGGTGGAGAAGTGCGCGCCGCGGGGGAGCCTGCGCTGCGCCACCGGGGCGAGGCTGCACCGGGCCGGGCGGGCGGGCGGGGGGCGCGCTGGCATCTGGGCGGCGGCCCTGGGTTTCTATTTTATTTATTATTTTAAAAACTGAGGCCGTGGAGGAGGCAGCTGGAGCCTGATCCACTCCTTGTGAGTTCGTCTCGACTTCTGCCCACGCTCGCACAGTTCTTTTCTGGTGACAGAGGGATGGTTCTGTGCGCCGGGTAGCTCCCGCCGGGTTTCTCCTGCCCGAACCAGGGAGACGCAGAGGCTGAGCCGCCCCGCCGCCCGGAACCCGCCGCGGCGCCACTCGGGGGGCCCGTCCGCAGCTCCGGGAGCCGGGGCTGAGGGTCGCGCAGCGGGCCCGGCTGCAGAGGTACGCGGGCTTCCGAGGGGATTCCTCCAAGCAAACTCTCCCGCCGCCCGCAGCACCGCCCCGGGAGCCAGGCAGAAGCGCAGCGCGTCCTCCTCGCCCCCTTCCTCGCCGCGCCGCCTCCCGGGACCCTCCCCAAGTGCCTCCTCCGCACCGGCCCGCCCGCGGGAGGAGCCGCTGCCGCTGGACCGGGGAGACCACACTTCATGGGCCGGCCGCGGAGGGCCGGGCACCCGGGGCGGGGGCTGCCTTGAACCCGTTGAGGACCGGCCAGGAGCCCGGAGCGCTTCCTCGGTGCGGACAGCGCGGCGGACGGCGCGGCGGCGGCCCCTCCAGGGCGATGCCCGAGCGGCCTCGAGCCGCCGGCAGCAGGAGGCCGTAGGCGGGCATGGGCCTGGCACCCCGGTCCTAGAGACCCTGCAGACTCGCCCTCCTCTGCTCGGACGGATCGCCCGGCTGCCGCGATGGCCTCGGAGGTGGTGTGCGGGCTCATCTTCAGGCTGCTGCTCCCCATCTGCCTGGCAGTAGGTGAGTGCGGTCGCTCCGCTCGCCCCGGTCACTTGAGGGAGGTGAAGGGAGCGCCTAGGGACGGGGGCAGGCTTCCGGGCCAGCCTTAGAGAAGGGTTCCAGTGTTGTGGGACTGTCTTCGGGGAGCCCGCGTCGGGGTCCCGGTGTCAGACACGCACCGTCCGCGGGGCCGGCTCCTCTCGCGTCCCGCGCCGGGCGCGCTGTCGGGGCTCTCCTAACGGGCCAGCGGCGGAGTCCGGGAGACCCATAGGCTTGTGCCAGAGACTGTTGGAGTTAGTCACACGTGGGATTTCTGTCGGGGTGTGCTCACGGGTACATCAGGAATGCAGACCTGGCTGGGGAGCGGCTGGGTGGGGGTAGACCCCTTCCTGGCGCAGCGCGGGGTCTCTCTGGATCCCCTGCTCCTGGTTCCCAGATGCGCACTGAGACAGACACACCGTGCAGCCGGCAGGCACCGAGGCCATCTCTCTGCGCACATCCCAGAACGGTGATGCCAGAAGTGCAGGAAAACAGTGCCCTGAAGTTGCTTATTTTCTTTTACTCCCTCAAAAGCCCCTACAACAAAAGTGTTGAATGCTGATGCTACAGACAACTGAGACCCCATCCCATCCCGTCCCACAGGCGCTGGCCCTTTCAGGTTTTTAAAGGGATCAAAAGCCTCTCCCTGGGACTGGCAAGGGCTAAGGGAGCCCAGTTAGGGATTTCACTCTTTCTCTAGGGCTGGGAGGGTGTTGCAAGCAGCTGGGAGTGCGTGGAGCGAGAGAAATTCTGTTTCCCCTCTAATAGATGGTGGTGCCCCTTAGGTTGGCGCCCGTAAGGATGGCTGGCAGCTCCTTGCTTTCCCTTTCCCCTGTAGACTTAGAACCATTTACAAAGAGACACGGTCTTTGCAGAAAAGGCCACTTTTTTACATTGGCCAGAGATTGAGGACTCAACAGCACACCGGTGTTGTTTTGTTTGCCCCAGCAATGCACCTAAAGAGAGTTTCTGTGGTGTGTTGTGAGGGTCAGTCCCTGCTGCCAGGAGGATTTTGTGATCGGCATGAACACTCTGAGCGAGCTAAGCTTTCGGAGGAGGCAGAGGCAGGGCGCCCGCGGGAAGTGCAGAGGGCACGCAGATGGGGAGCCTTCTGCGGAGTGGCTGGGTGCTCCCCCACAGGCAGGCTGTGGCCTCCAGTGTGCCCTCTGAGTTTCCGGGCAGGACCATTTTGCCGGGATCTTGGCCCTTAATAATAGCCAAGCATGTTGATGCAGAGGGCAGCGTCCAGGAAGCTGAAGTGGACCCGGAGGCCAGCTGGTTTAAGTTAGAAGAAACGGCTTTGGAGAGCCATTGGTGAAAACAGAGCTGGGCTACCTTAGGTTCATTACACACAGGTGGTGAGCATCGTGGTCTGGTGGTCTGGGCCGTCTGTATATCTGAAGCGCCTGGCACATTTACTATAAGCCCAATGGAAGCTAGTGCCCCAGTTAACAAGGGCTTCTCCTCACTCTTTTCTCTTCCACCCCGCCCCCCTTCTTCCCCTTCCCCTTCCCCATTAGGCTGGTGGATGTCTGCAGCCACCTGGGTCCGCTCTGTGACTTGCACAAGTAGTTGAGTGAAAGAACAAAAGGATTTACCCACCAATCCCAGAGACCTTGCCCTGAGCATAGGCTCTTGCAGTTCGCCTGTTCTAGATGCTCCACAGCCGTGGTGGTTTGGGGGCCTTGTTATCCTGACTAATGGTTGGTGGTCAACATCACAAAGCCCTTCTGTGGGACTGTGGAGCTCTGCCCTCCAGAGGGACCTGGGGGTGCCGCACCCCAGATGAGGCGCCCCAGGTGCAAAGCTTGGGCAGGCAGCTGCAGAGCGGCCCAGAGGGAAGCTCTTAGGGGCGCTGGGAGGATCAGGCACCACTGTCTCGCAAACGGGGTCCTGACTCAGTCTGGCCCCTTTCCTCCACCCTCCTGGCTTCTTCCTGGGACCCCGTGGGCCCCGTGCCATATTCACACCTTTAGGCTGGGGTCCAAGAGTAGGCTTGCTCTGAGCAAGCTTGTGAGCTCCCTGGCTTCCAGGGATTCAAAGAAGACAGACCCCGCCCGCCTATCATCCTGCTGGGGCTTCAAGGACAGCTGGGAATGGGCAGCCAGGACTAGCCTTGGCAGCCTTCTCTTTCCAGCTCTGGATTCTCTGGCGTTTTCTTTGCTAACCCTGAGAGGCTAACCTGACAGCACGTGTCAGGTTTTCTTTGCTAACCTGACTGTATGTGTGTGTGTGTCCGTGTGCCTGGTGATGATGGCATTCTCTGCAGCCTCCAAGGGCCTAGACAGAGCCTGTGCTGCCCAGCCCTGCCCCGCTTTGTGTAAAGCTGAAAGGCACCTGAAACTTCGCTCCCTAAGGTAAAGGAGGAGAGCTCCTGGGAAGAACAGAGGACTTAATCCGTTCCATGGCTCATCCCTTCACTTGTTGGCTGCTGCTTGGGAAAGACATCCCACTTACAAAGATCAGTGGTGCCTGATGCCTTCTAATCCATGCACTTGAAGGGACGAAAGGGGGCTGGGCAGCTGTGGCCTGATTTGAGCATTCGTTTATAGAGGAAGTGGATGTTTTCAAGGTTACTGGAGGGTTTTCAGGCCTGCCTACTCCCCAGGTGCTCCTAAATCAAATATTCAGGTTTTCCTAATATCCTGGACATGGAGAGTGCAGTGATCTGTTTGCCATTAGAATCGATTTTTACATTTTAACCATCTATTTTTATATCTGGGCAAGGCAGCCTTCAAAGCCAACATTTTGAAGAAGCTTATGTATTTCACTTTAACCCATTTATCTAACATCATTGTTGAGAAAATTCTGCAGATTCTCCGGCCTTTTCACCTAATGAAGGATGTTAAAAATTAACTGCTATTGTGTTTAATCTGAGCTTAATATTTTCTTTCTTTTTCCCCCGGTAAAATAAATTTACCGAAATGGGATAAGTGGCCGAGGGCCTCTATTATGCAGGTGTTTTGTGGCTCTTGAGTGTTAAAAGCTTGAGAAAGCAATAATGTAATGTCACATGTTATTTGCCACTTAGAATCAACATCTAGTGATAGATTTTCCCATGTCAATAGAAACTAGAAATGTTAACGATCTCCCAATTATCCCTGACTACTTGGGTAGCCATTCTGACTTTTTTTCTTCAAAGAACATTTAAATAAATACCTGGACAAAATTTTTCATAATATCATGCGGTCTTGATAATTGTTATGACATCTGATCATTGTTGAGCACTTTAGAAATATGTTTACATTTATTTTCTTTTAGCGTGACCCCACTGTCCCATTTTTAAGTATATGATCTCAGTCTGTTCCTGGAAATGGATTGGTGTATTTTTATCCACATGCTCCTGACCCAGTCATTCCATCTTGCCTAGTGATGCTTGGAGTTCCCTTAATGTCTTGCCTGGAAGAGATGACAACCATTTTTTAGGGATGCCTGCTTGGGCAGAATAGATTGATCCAGGAGGGGCCAGGCCTGTCCAAATCAAGTACCTCATTCATAGACAATCCTCTAGGTTTGTCTTTGCTCTTCATCTTGGTCCACAGCAGTGTGTCCTTGGGTTCACATCCTGTGTGTCCTGCAGTGTTGGAAAACCTCGAGCTTACTGCTTGGCTTCTTCAAATCCTCCCTGTGTGCTGAGCCAGAAGTGCCTTCCACAGCTTAAGGCCTCCAGGATCTGTCCCTCAGTGAAGAGGACTTGGGGCTTTTCTTGGTGTCAATTCCATTTCAGCCTTTGCTGAGTCAATGCAGGAATTATTGCCACCCGCCCAGCTAGTTTGTATTCTTGTCCTGGTAGTAAGTAAATTCTTTTCCCCAGTTGATGGATGGCCCGTTCAGCCGGTTCTAAGCAAAGATAATCCTGTTTTTTCACAACTTCTCTTTTCAATATAAATTTCTTAGGGTAATGGGGCTTAGATAAAATAAATTGTATATCTCTACATGATAGTTAAGCTGTAGGTGAATCGAAGCTGGATGCTAACTGTGCTCTAGGAGGTTTCCCAGGGAGGCCATCACGGTTCAGCTATTTTACAGCTGTTGCATTCATCCCTGTGGTTCGAGATTGCCTATTCCCACGTCTGCATCAAGGACGGAGGCAGAAAACCCAGACAGGGCAGTCTTTCCTCACCTTCTAAGGACACAATCTGGAATTGCATGAATCACTTCTGCTCATATCCCATTAGCCTGCATTTAATATTATTCACCTACCTAATTGCAAAGGAAGCTGAGAAATGTCATCTATATTTTGGCTGGCACAAAAAAACAAAGTGTTGTGGTAAAGAAAGAAAGGATAGATATTAGCATAGCAATATGGGTTTGTGCCTCCTGTAGATGATGGTAACTTAATGTGCCTTGTGGACACTGCATATTTTTCTACCCCACCCTCCCCACTTTACTTCTATACTTGTAACTAGACTCGGCCACCAAAGGTTCCTAAAAGTGACGTACAGGCTGTGATTAATGAGGAGGTATACTGTACTCCAAAAGAACTGCATGGATTGCCCCATTTATACAGTCCAGAAGTCTGGGAATTCGAGTGGAAATGAGTGTTAAGGGTGTGGGATAATGGTGGAAGGAACAGAAAATTGGATCAGAACAAATTTATTGATATAGGACCACTAAGCAGAGATTCTGGATTCACTGTTATATCTTGAGAGGTTAGAAAGGGCTCTCACAGCTTGGTTGTTTGGCTGAAACAATGCTAAATGAAGTTAAAATTTAGCCAGACCTTCCTTGGTATACCCGTCGAGGAAAGGGTCGAAAGGCTTAGGAAGAGTGAAACGGTAGAGTGGATGCATCATGTAAAATCCTGCTCACCCACCTTGGGAAGGTCCAGAGAACACCACCTTCATCATGACTGTGAGAAAAACATTTGTAAGAGGAGCCTTGGCATCCTGGCTCTGTGCTTGCTCTTCACTGTAGGTCAGAAATTACAATGGAAACTGCTGCCACTGAACTGGAGCCCTTAAGTGCAATGAGCATATTTG